CCCCGCCAGTGGTGATTTTGTATACCACCAAAAGAAAGTTCTATCTGTCCCTAAAAAAGGTTAACATAAATTCCAAGGCTATAGTCCGGTCATGCTGACTGGTGACATTTTTGACTGATTGGTGAGACACCCTAAAATTTTTCAAGCCCTGTACATGTGTTTCATGTAGGTCCCCACTGACAAATGATCTGGTGACGTGTCAGGACTCCTTGATGAGCAATCACCTTAGTGACCTTTCAAAAAAACATTTTTGTATTGGATAAAGCAGAATTTTTGTCAAGTTTTATTACAGTCTATGCTTCCATTGGGGATATTTCTGTTCACTTCTTGCCCTGATGGCAGTAGAAAAAGAAGAAAGTTGCCATAGGAACCGAAGGTGAAATCACCAAAAGAGGACACTTGTCCACAATGCAATTGTCAAAAGTGGGATTTTGCTTTCATTATCTGTTGAGTCACTAAAACAGGAAGTACAGGAAACTCTCTCCAGCTGAGACACAAATAGCAATAAACACTTGGTAATATAATCTAGTCCTTTTCAACTCTATCAAAAGTTAAAAAAAGTCAGCGCAGGCGGATCGGAGCGGGGCAAATCCAGCCCCTCCCCTGTCACGGCAGAGAGCCGTGACAGGATCGAGAGGTGAGCGAACGCCGGTATGTGTTCGCTCACTTCCCGATCTACTGAGCCGACCTGTGACAGTCTCATTGTCAGAGGTCGGCTAGAACTATGAGGTGAGTAATTGGGGTTAAAACTGAGAATTGGTCCTAAATGTTACTTATACATTGCTGCCAATGGCAGCTTCCTAAAAATGTCAGATGAAAAGCTGTGGCTAGTTCCAATTGTTTCTGAATCACTGGACCATAAGTAGTGTGTTGCAAGTCATTACTCCTGATCTACTGTACATACTTGCGAAGCATAATGGGCAGGGAATTTTAATTTTCAGAACGAGAATTAAGTAATGGCACACATATATTTTAAAAACATATAGGTATTGCTTTTGCTGTGCTCCATTTTGTATGTGTTTGGCTTCTGGTTTGAATGCTGTACCATAAAAATAAAAAAGTATATATTTTCTAAAAACTGAAACATAAGGGATCATCCACATGGGCGTGCAAATCCGTTCAGCATAGACGCCCAAGCAGAGACCCAATCCTGGGAGGGACAGCTGCAGCATGTAATTGCATGCAGCCGCCTGCACCTCTCTATGGGAAGGCATAACTCCACGTGACTATACACCGACCCAAACTTGAATATCTGGGCAGGATGGGGTGCCCGCACCTGGACGCACACCGTCTACGTCCAAGTGTGGGTATCTGGACGTGCAAGTTTGTTTGTCCGGCGTGTAGCCGCGTGCAACCTCATCCTCCCATAGGAAGCATCTGTCCCTCTCAGGGTCAGGTCTCTGCACAGATGTGCACGCCCATGTGCATGAGCCCTAAAACCTGCAAGCTGCCGTTTGATAAACTGCTATGTATAGAAATGCATAGATGAAAAATCTACCACTGAATATAACGGCATGAACTGTTCCATTTTGTTTCTCTGTGGTTTGAATTCTTAGCAAAGTGCAGGCAACAGTGTGTCCTTGATATCCTCATTGTAATCCTTCTATACCATACAATATATCTGACATTAGGTCTGCTTTAGGAACTAAGGGCTGTAAATCAACGTCCACCCCATAAGAGTAATTAGGATTTTACTTTTTTCATAGAGAATCTCTTTGTGATCATAAAAGGCAGCAAGTATTTCTGTTAGCTAAATCCAAATTGGTTCAGTGATCTGTTGTAGCTAATTATACTTTGTACTGATTCCTATCCACACTATACAACTAAACATATTTTCAGTGAAAATTTCAGATCAATTGGTAAAAAACACCAGGATGATTTAGGAATATCTTCTTGAGCTTTAGGTGATCCTTCCAGCCATAACCCCATTTTTCTCTTCTGTAAAAGAAATACAAATATTGTTATTTCCATATAGGTAAAGCATAGTGTATTGTGGCAGTGCATGGCAATACCGTGGAGTATGCTGGCAACACAGTCACCCAGGACTCTTAGCCAGAGGGGCTGAGGGCTTCCAGTATTTAAATTCTTTTGCAGGGAAGAAGCTGGCCTTTCAGTTTCTTCCGGTTTTTCCGGATTGTAGCTGGGATCTGGAGCTCTAGAGATTTCTTAGAGTTCTGGGTGGGATGAAATCTCAAGTCCTGAGTTCAGATCTTGCTAGTGATCAGGTGGCTGAGAGCAGCCTCATCAAGAGCCCAGACCAGAGCTCAAGGGAGGAGTTGATGTGGTGCAATGTCTGCTTCAGGCACATGAAGGCCAAGCCAGGTGTGGTGTGTGCTGGAGGCACACAAGGAACAGCCTGGGAGGCTGGAAGGTTTAGAGAGGCTGAGAGAGAGCCAGGCACACAAGAGGTGTCTTTAAATCAAAAGCTGCTGAAAGCTGTTAAATGATACAGAGTATTTCTGAAGACTGGGACACAGTAAAGTCCTGAGACTGGGACACTGACTGAACATGACAACCTGAGAATGGTGAGAATCTGTTGGCTGAAATACAAGCATACTTTATGCTTTACTGCTGAAGAAAGCTATCTTTGTTCTGTTACAAAAGAAATAAAAGACTGTCCTTTTTCTGTTAAAATGGCTTCAAGACTGGTCCTTAAGCGCTCACCATATGTGCTAAATTCCCCAAAAATCACAGTATTTTCAGTGAGAGTTATTATTCTATAAGCAGTCACAATAGGCATATCTTAAATGGCGCTTTAAGAAACGATCAGTGAACTCTAAGGGTGCCCACACACCTTACGATTATCGTACGATAATCGCGGGAAATCCCGCGATCGTACGATGTTCGTAAGGTGTGTGGAAGCCGTGCGACATCTACTACTGTAAGGTCGCACGACTTTAAACTTACGGACATGTTTGAAAACCCGCCGAGCATCGTACGATGTTCGGCCGGTTTGTGGCATGTCCGTACGATAACAGCCGCACGGGCCAGTGTGCGCAAGCGCACACTGCCCGTTCGGCATTGCGGTCATCGGAAGCCCGCCCCTCAGGGGGCGTGGCTTGCGATCATCGCAAGTACGATCTGCCTATGCAACATAGGCAGATCGTACGTTTTTTTAAGTACCTTACAACCATCGCAAGACAAAAGTCTTGCGATGGTTGTAAGGTGTGTGCCCAGCCTAAGGCTGACTGGAATCCAAAAAAGTCTCTATCTCTGCTGAGGTGCCCCTCTGGATTGTTAAACTGGCAATACACAATTAGAATATTGTACGAACATTTATATGAAAAATATCCTCAAATCTTTCCAAAATGCCATCAGAGACCTTTAAATGTTTGAAATTTCCTTTTGATTTTAACATTTGATTATGGAATGAATGGAGTTTCATGAAAGTAAACCATATTTACTGTTAAAATGTAATTTGTTCAAAAAATGTTTTATCACTATGGTCAAAATTGATTGCTGATTTGCCCTCATTAACTAGTTTAAATTGAATGAAGGGTCCAAAAACAGATTTTTATGAATACCTTGCCTCGGGG